GAAGCCGGGCGACAGCATAAGAAGGAGGGAAGCCTGGCGTTAGCCGGGCGGCCCGACTGGTGGCATATAAGCCATTAAGAAGGCGAGGGCAAGCGGGGTCTCGGTAGTGTAAGGGATAAGAGCACGGTCCCCGGAAAGGACAAGTACGGGTTCGAGTCCCGTCCGAGACTGGAGTTTTGCCCACAAATCGCCAACCTTGTGAGGTTAGAACTTGGTTCATTTCTTGCTATTAGATTGCGACCGCTACCCAGCAAGGTTTGTGATCCAATAAATGTTTCTCCTCGGTCGATATCATTTGCGACAAAACTTAATAGACCGTCCGTAATCTGGAATTCTCAACTAATGATATCTCCGTGAAGAAAAGGGTCTATTGATAAAGAACATCTGATAATGGTGCTATCATTGCTCAACACTCTGATAATGGTGCTATCATCGCACAAAACATCTCCACAGCATCATCTTTGGTTGTCTAACAGTTGGATTTTTGATGGGTATTCTTTTCAATAAAGGGAGCAAGAGATACTATTATATATACGAGAGAATTCCAATTAAAGGCGTAAGCACCGACTTTCACTGAGTGCCATCTGCGCTGTCCTGTTAGTCCTGTGTCGAACTTCGTGTACAGTAAACTATTATTCGTTTCAAAAAAAAAGGAGGGGAGAGTTAGCCGACTTACTACAATTTTGTTAAAGAAGGAGGGAAGCTCAGCGTTAGCCGGGCGAACTGACTATGTGATATGCTCTACGACGACATAATCTATTTCGAGCTCTGTTTCAGTTTCAAAATCTCACTCAGCTAAACAGCGGAAAAACTTAAAATCTATAATTTTTGAAAAAGTAGAAAAAAATTCTTCAAGTGAGCATTTCTCGGAACACAAGAAGGAGGAGAGCCTGGCGTTAGCCGGGCGATCCGACTGGTTTATAGGATAAGCAGCCAAGCACATACATATCTTTCTGGCACCATCATTAGATTCACCACCTTCAGTAACCCCTACACCTGCTTTGGTTTGCTCAACTTTTATATTTACATTTATATAGATTATTTTCGATTTTATGCCGATTCATATGTATTGGATCACCCCCTACAACACGAAGGTTTCGAAATCTTGTGCAGCCGAATTTGCACTTGGAGGGAACAACGTGTCGCAAATATGTTTGGAAAGAATATGCACTTTGCCTCGAGGATGTCATCTTCCTTTGGTGAAAAAGCACAATGTCGGAATTTTCGTGTTACCGGGTCCTGTACAAGGGCAATTAGGAGGAGAATCGTGAGATCCTTCAGCTCCGTCCAAAGATATTCGGAGACTACAGAGCCTCCACGAGGACAGGATGCCCGCGCAAGCTAACCGCAAAGGACGAGAAGAGAATGTTAACTAAGAGATATTTCGAACAGAACCCTGTCGTTAAGCCGTTCGATCGGAGTTGGATGGTCCAAAACTACTGAATGGAGAGCCCTGAAACAGAGCAGCAACATTTTCAGGGCAGCAACGAAGTGGACTCGGAGGCTTACCGACCACCACAGGAAGGCACGACTTGAACTTGCGAAGTTGAATTTGGAATGAGATTGTACGAAAGTCAGCTTGTATTATCGCTAAGCCATAAAGTCCAATATTCTCGTTCAGGCCTATTTCGATGAAAAGAAAGTTAATTCGGAAGGCCTCGATGATTACAACTACTACCCGCACGACTTACGAAAGCAGCCGATCAGCTCTGGTCGTCGCAGTTTTGGAGGAGGAGGTGTTATGATACGGGTGCCTTCTGCAAAGATGTCGGGCTGCAGCTTGTTCTCGTGACCTCTTAAATGGAGTACAAGGATTCCCAGGAAGTCTAGCAATGGCACCTGGTGCCATTTCCGAGCCAGCAACGTAGTCCTAGCTACGTTTTTCAACGGACAGGGCTGCGATCCACGCTAGTCATTCCACAAAAGATCGGTCCGTTTCCCGAAGTTTCGAAGTTCTGACATGGCCAGCTTGCAGTCCCAATCTGAACAGATGGAGAATCGGTGGGACACCTCTGCAAAAAAAATTATTTGAACAACCGTCAGTCCAGACAATGGAAGAGCCCAAGCAGGCAGTCTTCAATCTTGGAATGAAATCTCCGGCGAGGTCTTTCAAAAGCCTGTTTCAAGCATGCCATGTAGGCTATTCGATATTCGCCTAGAACAAGGAAGACCTATAGACTACCTTCTTTTTGTCGTTATAGCGATAATTTTTTTCAAATTCGCAGAGTGCTCTTATACTTATGAAACGACGCAAAATTCAAAATTATTCACAAATGTGTTGTGATAGATCTTGCATTGAATTCCATGTTCTCTCATCTTGTAACCTCGGCATTTCTGTTGTACTTGAAACTGATAATTTTGCTTTCGCCACGAGGTTGTTAGGTGGGGATCTTTATTCTGGCCGACGTTTCGACGAACTCGTCGTTTTCAAAGGCCTGAAAATGGCTCAAAGCTTTTGTTTGCACATTACCCCACCAAGCGCCTCCTCCGCTCTAGCATTTCTGACCTTCTATCAGGAATGCACGAAAAATGCCCAAAATTAAAAAGATAAGCTCACCTCACTTCCACCCGAAGTGTAGCACTACGCTACACGGT